AAGATATAATGTTTTCAAAAGCCTTTGATTACTTTATTTCCAGTTGCAAGAATTTCCATCTCTGATAATTTTTCTCGAGGAAGTGGCATTCTTAATTAACTTAAGCTTACTGATCTTGACTTCATTTAGAATTCATTGTGGATTTCATTAATTTTAATAATTTTAAAATGAGGCATTAGTCTTGAGTGCTGGGTTTCCCAGCCATCCCTTAAATTTTGTCTCGCGCCCGCTAATCCTGGCCTTGGTGAGAGAAGGGAAAGAAGGTCAACAGATTGTAGAATACAGGCTGGGGGGCGCCTCCCCAGGCCTCTCCATCATCTGGTCCTGTCACTGTCCAACTTCTAGAAAACGTACACCCATGTCATCCTAATCAGCAAATCTCCTCAGAACCCTACTTAAAACTCTTCAGTAGCCCATTTTTGCCCTAAGAGGAAAAAATATCAACTATTTCATGTGATTTCCAACACATACCTTAACCCATTCTTAACAGTATGACTTCCTAGTTGGTATTTTCATGATGCTTACCTGTTTTACTTCCACCTTCAACATGTTTTTTCCGGGAAATATACCATGTTAATTGCCTTCAGGCCTTGCTCATACATTAATCATCTTACATGCCTCCGTTTACTACTGTAACTTGCTCTCTGATGATTTCATATTTAAAAATCCTACTTTTACTTGAGCTATTGAGTCAAGTGAAAAAACGGATTCATCCTTTTCTTCAAAGCCAGTTTCCCTCTTCTAAGTGCCTTGTGTGTTTTAATGGTGCCAAGATTCTGCCAGACCTGAACTTCAAATCACCTTTGAAACTTCTCCCTGATCACCCATATCTGCTAATCCACATCCAGTCACTTGGCCTTGAAAGTTCTTTATTAGGCAACAAATCACTCCCTCTTTCTTTCTGTTCACAAACACTTTGGAGAAAGAAATGTGAAAAAGTTTATTTAAAAAAAAAAAAAAAGCAGAAAGCACCATGCAAATTGAAAGTCACATGCAAAACTTTATGAATAATATCTTAGTGGAGAATCTGGGCTAATCTGAATTCTCTCTCAGACAGGAATTCCCAATTCACATTCTCCTTTGTTGGCTGGAGAAAGTTGCAAGTGCTGTCTACTTTGACAAAGAAAATCGTATTAAGATGTATGATGTCATGGCAAATGGAGTTAAAACATCTTCTGTTATCAAATAGATCCTCCTTCCCAACATGGCAGATACTTCAGCATTGTTTTGATGTGTCTTCATCATCAGAAGTGTCCTTTCCTGTAATTTCAAAATTCTTTATGCAAATCATCCTTTCTTTGTTCTCCCAGTTCACTTTCTTTACACCCTAAATCTTATCTTGAATTAAAATTTAAATGCCCATGAAGGTGCCTCATCTTCCCCGTCGACTGTGAGCTCTTAGAGAACAGGGACCTTCTTGTGAATATCCAGTCAGCAGTTAGTCTTCAAACAAGAACAGACCACAGGCAAGAACAAATGAATAGAACACAGAAGGATACTCAAATAGGCCTGAAATTAGAAAACTTAAAAAAAAAAAAATAATCTGGAAGAGTAGCTGAAAAAAATTTATTAAACACACTGCTTTTGCAAGAAATCTACAGTTTGCATTTTGACAAGGAATTCCTGAAACCTCCTCATAATGTACATAGACCTGCACCCACTCTTTAACATAATCATAAGCTTTTTCTGTAGTTCATCCATGGACCCAGAAAGGAAGCACCTTCCCAATACTGAGAAGTGGTGAAAGCATCATGCCTTTAGTCAGCTACCATTACCACTGGTCTTAGTGGAATAATTCAGGGCTTTCATCCTTTGCAAAGCTAGCTGAGAAAGAGACAAGTCTACAGTATATGCCCAAGGCCACAAAGCTATCTTTGGCCTTGCCTTTTCTCCCCCCTAAATTAAAAGAAAGTCTCAGTTGTAGGCATCAACTGGTAGAAACCATGGTTGGTAATGCTTTGTCACAGACAGGAAGCTTTGGACAATTCCAATGATGTACAAGAACACTTTTTATATGTTGTAATCAAGTTTTCGCTTTGCTTTTAAATCAGTTTTTCCTGAAGCCTCATAACTTAGAAAAAAAATTAAAGCACTTATTACCTAACCTGATCACTAGCATCTATTTTACAGTGATTCAAATCTACTTTAACAATACCCTATAATTAACCATGGCTACTTTTTGTTAAATTTTAAAAACATCAACCTAACAATTTTTACGCAATTCAAGATTGACATAATGGTTCATACAGAAATTTTTTAAACCTAATTGTTCAGGCCAAAATATTGACATTTACCTTTCAGTGTTCATCTTTCTACAGCTTTTAGATAAACAGCTTCTATGAATTGGTAGACACATTGGTGGTTTAGTCACTCAGTCGTGTCAATTCTTTGCAACCCTATGGGCTGTTGCCTGCAAGGCTCCCCTGTCCATGGGGTTTTCCAGGCAAGAATACTGAAGTGGGTTGCCATTTCATTCTCCAGAGGAACTTCCCAACCCAGGGATCGAACTCTGGACTCCTGTATTGCAGGCAGTCTCCTGCATTGCAGGCGGATTCTTTACTGACTGAGCCACCAGGGAAGCCTCAGGAAAGGCCAGTAGTATTTCTTTAGAAGGTTTCTTTAATTCAAGATTTTCTGTCGGTACCTGATTGTCAGTGTTCATGTTTAAGAAACAGAACTTCATGACAAGATGGAGCTTCTCACTGAGGCCAGGGGTCAACTTCCAACTGAAATGAAAGAGATTAAACCCTGAGCCCAGAGAAGACCCAGTCCGTGTCACGTTCAGTGTCTATGCAGCTTCTTGCTCTTCTGGTGACTTCCTGCTACTGTGGAGTGCAGCAGAGAGAGAGAGGGAGGGAAACCAACAGTCTAGCATCAGATCCATTCAGGTGCTAGAGGAGGCTCTGAGGAACAACATAGAGAAGGGGTCACAGGCCCTAACAATAGTTGTCGGTGCCTTCCCTGGTGGCTTAGCTGGTAAAGAACCTGCCTACAATGCAGGAACCCTGGGTTCAATCCCTGGGTTGGGAAGATCCCTGAAGAAGAGAAAGGCTACCCACTCCAGTATTCTGGCCTGGAGAATTCCAAGGACTGTATAGTCCATGGGGTCACAGAGAGTTGGACACAACCGAGCGACTTTCACTTCACTTGAAGAAGACAGATGTAGCCACAGAACTTGCGGCTATATATTGCTGGTGCTAAGTCACTCAGTCGTGTCCAACCCTTTGCAACCCCTTGGACTTCAGCTCACCTGACTCCTCTGTCCATGGAATTTTCCAGGCAAGAATACCGGAGTGGGTCGCCATTTCCTCCTCCAGGGCTCAAACATCCCAACCCAGGGATCAAACACTGGTCTCCTGTGTCTCCTGCATTGGCAGGTGGATTATTTACCACTGTGCCACCTGGGAAGTCCAATACATTGCATACTCTTAATAATATACCTGTTTATAAATCACAAAGTGTGGTTGACCTTGCACTATTCTGCAAGGGACATGGCTGTTGTCCAGGAGGCAAGACATAAATTCAGTTTGAAAACCTAAATCATCAACTATATTCCAATGTTTTTAAAAAATAAATAAAAATAAAATACACAGTGTATACAGAAAAAAAAAACCTGAATAAAGACTTAATTTTTTAAAATGTTGATGGGCAGTACAGAGCACTATACCTCATTTAATTGCAGGGAGGAAATTGCTACTCCAAAACACAAGAATGATGTGATGGTTTGTTCACTGATTTATTCCATTTTTAAAACTTAACTTGCTTTTAAAAATTAAGGGAAAAGAAGAAAATAAGGCAGCCAAAAAGCCTACAAGCCACAAACCACTACTACAAGGAGTAACATCATTAAAAGACACAACTAGGCGTTCTCAAATGCCTTTGTGACCAACATGATTTTGTGTCATAACCTGGCCATTATTACCTGTGAAGGCTATGAAACCGAGCCTTAAAATCAAGACCTGTTAGCCCTAGCCTACTAAATTCTCTCTCCTACCTACTGTGGATTCCAACATGAATTTCTCATTCTTTGTCAGTTACATATTTACAAAGAAGAGTGCTTTACTCCTATTTGGCTTTGGACAAGTTTAAAAAAAGAACTTTATTTACAAACATTCTATTCCTTTACATATATATACACAGAGCAAAGCATTTGGATAAAATAGGATAAAATCACAGGAAACAAAGCCAACTTTTGATAAAATCCAGTAGAAATTAGTAACACTCAGAAAAATCAAAACCAGTTATAACAGTTACAAGAGAGTCAAAGCAAATAGATTGAGGAACAACAAACCACATCAGATTTCCCTCAAACCCTCTAGCCAGTGTTTTTGTTACATAAGTTAATGGCCAGTTCAGAAATTTCAAGTCACATAGTGAAGCCACTTACTTTGTAAAAACAGTATCAGAGAAAGGGATTGTCTCCATTCAGAGAATACAGTAGGAAAACCACTCGCTCAAAGCGACTGAGAATTTTTTGAGGAACAAAATCATCTAGCCTGCGAAGTGTTGTTGAAATCCAGGCATACTTTCTTATAAAATACTACCTCAACTCAAAATTGACTTTCTTTCTGTGTGCCAGGAGAGTCCCTGGGACCCTTGGTTGGTAGGCAGGTGGGTAGGCAGCCTTGCAGTCCACAGGCTGCAGGGGCTGGGGGGCGTGGGGGGCGGCTGCTCCCAGTTCAGAGGCCCATGCTTTCCCGCTGCGCATCAGCAAACCTGAGAAGTCAGAGCTGTTGACAGGCGGTGTTAGGAACGTAACGGGAGGAGACATGGCTGCTAATGGTAGCACCAGCCACCAGTACTGCTAGGAAGCCTTGGCGGCTGTAGGATCTCGGCTGAAAATGCTAACCTAGGCTGGCTCTTGAAATCTTCAGCCTCCTGAGCCTGTTAGTTCCTCCCTTTATGAGAAAAGGTTGGCACAGCCGGTATCCATTTTGGGGATAAAGGGTAAGTTGATGGGAGAGACGTTCTTATGGGGAAGACTGCCTCGAGGTGAAGCTTCAAGACTTGGCACTCTTTCCTCCTACCAGACGTTTGGTGCTACTTGACCCGGTGGGGGTCTCAGAGACCCCGGGGACACTGTGGCCATCCTTGGGGGACTGGGCCTGCTGGGCTTCTTTCAGTTCCCTGACAATGAAAAAGGAAAAGTGTACATTCCTTGGTCCTAAATTAGAGATGATATTTATGATCAAAACCAGCAGAGATTTTTCTTTTTTATTTCAGTATTTATAGAAACAAGCATGAATGAGGCACAGAATAGAAAATTAACTCCTGTGATTATCTTTAGAAATGGCCAGTACACACGTGCCTCAACACATTGCAAGTTTGCCTTCCTGAATTCTACTCATTGGGGCATAAATAATCTTTAAAATTAAAGAGAAATAAGGAGACAACTCTACAGGGGTCAGCAAAGGACGGCCCATGGGTCAAATCTGGCCTGCCACCTGTTTTTATAAATAAAGTCTTACGGGAATTCAGCCAGTCCCATTCATTTTTGTATGGTCTCTGATCACTTTCACATCACTCCAGCAGAGTTGAGTCATTGCAGCTAAGACCATATGGCCCACAAAGGATAAAATACTACCCTGGTCTTACAGAAGGGTGTGCCAGCCCCTGGTCTAGACAATTTCAAGAGACGTCTGCCTCATCTCCATGATGAGTGCTCACTACTGGTAATGACCGATGACACACAACTGTATGTTGACAACTGGCTTCACAGATATACACACCACACCTTAAGGATACTTATAGTCCTGTGACAGCATATATATTTGTATTTTATGTTAGCAGAAATAGAGCAAAAAAAAAATATTAGGATTATTAGGAAGTTGCTTACAAGGAAGGATTACTTGGCTAATGTCTTCATAGAGTTTACACAACTCATTGCCGAGAAATTATTTGGGGGGACTTTTCAAGCTAATCTTTCTAAGATGGACTGTGTATCCAAAAGAAATTGGACTTAAGTATATTTTAGATAGTGGAAGTGACAAATAGAGTCAAGAGATTAGATCTGATAGTGCCTTAGAACTATGGATGGAGGTTCCTGACATTGTGCAGGAGGCAGTGATCAAGACCATCCCCAGAAAAAGAAATGCAAAAAGGCAAAATGGTTGTCTAAGGAGGCCTTACAAATAGCTATGAAAAGAAGAGAAGCTAAAGGCAAAGGAGAAAAGGAAAGATATAGCCATTTGAATACAGTTCCAAAGAATAGCAAGGAGAGATAAGAAAGCCTTCCTCGGTGATCAATGCAAAGAAATAGAGGAAAACAACAGAATGAGAAAGACTAGAGATGACTTCAAGAAAATTAGAGATACCAAGGGAACATTTCATGCAAAGATGGGTTTGATAAAGGACAGAAATGGTATTGTCCTAACAGAAGCAGAAGATATTAAGAAGAGGTGGCAAGAATACACAGAAGAACTGTACAAAAAAGATCTTCATGGCCTAGATAATCACAATCATGTGATCACTCACCTAGAGCTAGACATCCTAGGATGCAAACTCAAGTGGGCCTTAGAAAGCATCATTATGAACAAAACTGGTAGAGGTGATGGAATTTCAGTTGAGCTATTTCAAATCCTAAAAGATGATGCTGTGAAAGTGCTGCACTCAGTATACAAGCAAATTTGGAAAACTCAGCAGGGGCCACACGACTGGAAAGGGTCAGTTTTCATTCCAATCCCAAAGAAAGGCAATGCCAAAGAATGCTCAAACTATAGCACAATTGCACTCATCTCACATGCTAGCAAAGTAATGCTCACAATTCTCCAAGCCAGCTTCAATAGTACATGAACTGTGAACTTCCAGATGTTCAAGCTGAATTAGGAACCAGAGATCAAATTGCCAACATCCGTTGGATTATCAAAAAAGCAAGAGAGTTCCGGAAAAATATCTACTTCTGCTTTATTGACTATGCCAACGCCTTTGACTGTGTGGCTCACAATAAACTGGAAAATTCTTCAAGAGTTGGGAATGCCAGACCATCTGACCTGGCTCCTGAGAAATCTGTATGCTGGTCAGGAAGCAGCAGTTAGAACTGGACATGGAACAACAGACTGGTTCCATGTTCTTATTTAACTTATATGCAGAGTACATCATGTGAAATGCTAGACTGGATGAAGCACAAGCTGGAATCAAGATTTCTGGGAGATATATCAATAACCTCAGACATGCATATGACACCACACTTATGGCAGAAAGCAAAGAAGAACTAAAGAGCCTCTTGATGAAAGTGAAAGAGGAGAGTGAAAAAGTTGGCTTAAAGATCAACATTCAGAAAACTAAGATCATGGTATCCAGTCCCATCACTTCATGGCAAATAGATGGGGAAAGAGTTGAAACAGTGGCGGACTTTATTTTTGGGGACTCCAAAATCACTTCTGATCGTGAGTGCAGCCATGAAATTAAAAGGCACTTGCTCCTAGAAAGAAAAGTTATGACCAACCTAGACAGCGTATTAAAAAGCAGAGACGTTACTTTTCCAACAAAGGTCCGTCTAGTCAAAGCTATAGTTTTTCCAGTGGTCATGTGTGGATGTGAGAGTTGGACTATAAAGAAAGCTGAGCCCTGAAGAATTGATGCTTTTAAACTGTGGTGTTTGAGGAGACTCTTGAGAGTCCCTTGGATTGCAAGGAAATCCAACCTGTCCATCCCAAAGGAAATCAGTCCCGAGTATTCATTGGAAGGACCGATGCTAAAGCCAAAACTGCAATACCTGGCCACATGATGTGAAGAACTGACTCATTGGAAAAGACCCTGATGCTGGGTCTTTTCATCTCCTTTTATATTTTCAACAATTCACTGGGTGTAAAAATTACTTTAAAATGCCTTCAGTATCCTGCTCAACCATCACTGCCTGACCTTTATAATACCAGGTCCATGCTATCTAATTAATTCCTACTTGTTAAATGAAGGAATAGATTAATAAATGCATGCATGAATACAAGCTTACATGCATAAGAAATAGGATTGCTTCCTTAGGCTTAGAAAAATACCTCTTTCTTAAACATGGGCCAAAACAGATTTTTTTTTCTGTTTTTTTAATTTATTTATTTTTACTTGAAGGATAATTGCTCCACAATATTGCACTGGCTTCTGCCATACATTAACATGAATCACCCATAGGCTCTGTAACAATCAAGACAGAATATCTGCCTGCCCCATGATTTAATGGACTTCTAATAGGTCTCTTCCCACCTTAGTTATGGTTATCTTACTTTGGATAGTCATTCACCAGTTACTTGAATACTGTTGTCACCTAGAATTCTAATTTTTCTTTACCAGTTGTATTTCCTTGCATTCATTTGCATTAACTGGAATTGTCTGTCTCAAGCTGTCTACTCACAGAGCATCCAACCCCTTGTTACACAGGGCCCTTCTTTGTGGGCAGGAGCCTCACAGTCATAATGTTGGATTCCACTTGAATCCATAAAGAAGACACACCAGACCAGTTGTGTCACTGTGAGTACCACATAAATAGGTTCTTCCTCAACTCCAGCATCCAAAAATCTACCTTTCCAGCGTGGCTGTCTTGAACTTTTCCAAGTTCAACTGGTGCTGAAGCTCTTCTGTTTTCCCCAGGGAGGGACAGAGGACTCGACTCTTGGCCAGAGCTGCTGCAGATGGTCTCTCTGCTGGATCAGGGTGGATCATGCTCTGATGAGGTGGGACCAAAAGGGAGGAAACAGAAGCTTCACTCTTGGGAAAATCTCCCCACCCAACCAACTCCAACCCAGCTTCTGCTGGTGGGTTTTTTGAAACTCAATTCTCCTTTGTGCAAAGGGAAGAAATAAATGAAAACTTAGCTCCACCCAGGACAGAAATATCATCCTTACGTGATAGGATCCATCATCCACACCTGTGACTTTCTCAAGTATCATCTTTTAAAGCTGATTGAATGATGAACTAGTCTAATGCCTTAATTTTCAACAGAGGAAACTGAGGTCCTGAGATAAAATGGCTTGTTCAAGTTATTGCCAGGACCAAGACTAAAACCTGGGTCACCGAACTGCTAGTTCAGCTCATTACTACCTTCATGTGTCCATTTTTCACTTAAAACTAATTAAGCGTATCCCACCATGACAGTACTCCTACAGCCTTTGTCTTCAGAGGAGATCTGTAGCCTAAGATGACTGGAATACAGTAGAAAATACCTAATTATATACAGCCATTCATGTCAAATAATGAACAAAACACTGACCCTTCCATTTGAGGAGCAATGTTCAGAGTCCGCTCCACTACTTAGCATGTAGCCCTGAGCAGGTCACAAAACTTTGCTGAAACTGTCTTCCTTTACTGGCATTTGGAATAGCAATAGTCACCTTCTGGACTGTTGTGAGAATTAAATGAATTAGCATATACTTAGTCGTGTCCGACTCTGTGCGACCCCATAGACGGCAGCCCACCAGACTCCCCTGTCCCTGGGATTCTCCAGGCAAGAACACTGGAGTGGGTTGCCATTGCCTTCTCCAGTGCAGGAAAGTGAAAAGTGAAAGTGAAGTCACTCAGTCATGTCTGACTCTTAGCAACCCCATGGACTGCAGCCCACCAGGCTCCTCCGTCCATGGGATTTTCCAGACAAGAGTACTGGAGTGAGGTGCCATTGCCTTTTCCTCTTCAGTAAGTATAAGTATCAACTAACTCTAAGAACGATTTACACATAGAAATAGGTGGACATCTGTTTGCCATTACATTAAAAAAAAGAGAAAGACATTTCCATCTTCTCTTCAGTTCACAAGAGACAGCACCTTGAGTAGTTGGTGGAATTCCTTGGAGAGCTCCTGAGGAAGATCTGGAAGGTTCCCCTCACGAATGTGATGCCACTTGGTGCCGTTGGCGGGCAACGACTCTGCTCCCGCAGCCACTGCGATGGTCAACCCCAAGGCAAATATGTCTGCTTTGGGGAGGTGCTGATAATTCTTCAGAACAGAAGACAGGAAGGCTGGTTAGTTTGCCAAGAGAAGCAAGTCTAGACTAAAACACAACTGGCAAGAGAGAGTTGCTTGAACGCACATGTGGGGACACAGTGGGGAGGTCGCATCTGCTGTGATTAGTAGTCTCTCTGGGGAAGACAGAGGACAGGCATCAATCCACCTGAGTAATACTGCTCTGCTCCTGGGAACCCAAAGCTGATGCTCTGTGATGACCTAGATGGGTGGGATGGAGAAGGAGGTGGGAGGACATATGTATACCCATGGCTGATTCATGTTGACCTATGGTGGAAACCATCACAATATTGTACAGTAATTATCCTCCAATTAAAAATTAAATAAAATTTAAATATATATATATATATACACTGCCCTGAAGAGTCAGAGGCAGAATCTTAACACTCTTTTGCTCTCTCAGGCTCAAAGAGGCTTGAAACGTAGATTGACTGATCATAGAGAAGAAAGACTCCTCTTTTCTTCCCCCGACTAGTGGCATTTTAAAGGTTGGTTGGACCAATAAAGGCTTCCTTCCTGCTAGGAAATTCATAATGCTAAGAATTCTAAAAAATATTAGAAATAGCAAAGGACCTTTACAAACAAAACAGTAAAAATGTTGATTAGTCCATTGATTGAGCCACCCTCTTTGCAAACATTTCAATGGATTTGAAAACCCTTTGTTCCCCAAATCTATACCTCTTGCAAAATCTCATTAGCCAGGAAGCGACTGTCCCCCTCTTCCACTTTGGGATTGCTTATTGATGCTACATGACCCAAGTCACCTAAGAAAAGAAAAAGGAAGTTGAGTTCTTTCAAAGCAGGTTTTTCTTAAAACTGGAATAAATGGATTAGAGTCATCAGCATACATTTTGTAGGATTAGAGTATACCAATCAAGTTACAAAACAGACTCACCAATTTTATACATCACATCGGCAGAGAGAAACCAATCAGCTTCATTTTCAACCTCTTCCAGGACCACAGGAGAGTCACTTTGCATCTTATGACAAATGAAGATGTTACCTGAAAAGAAATACAGAACTGTCGTAAGGAATGATACCTAGACCTTTTCACCTCTGAGATTCTTTTCTATAAATGACATTTCAGTCACCCTCTTCTGTATGCAGGTAACAAGACTACCAAGGTTTCTTTTCTTCCATGGAATCTCTCACACTACTTCCAAACAGCTCAGTGATTGACAATACCTATTTCAGTGGAACTTAAACCTCAAACCTCTTTGAAGAGGCTGGCGACCTCAATAGAAAGAAATAATCAACAACACAGGATAGTAACAACATTTCCTTGCATTTCACATGAATGAGTGCTTTAACTAGGCATTTCCGCTCAGTTTGATCCGTGCCAAGTTAGAAAGATTACCACTAGTTGTAAATCGTCAGGATTCAGCCAGGATGCAGTCTCTTATCTATGCGGTAAAATCAATACTTATTTTCATAGTTGGGCTTCACTATCTGGGGTCTTTTCTTTCCGTCCTCTAGGCCCAATGGGAAAGCAGTTGAAGCTGTTTAACTGGAATGTGGGCCGGGGGAGAGGGACATGGAACCAATGAAAAGGATTCTGCCAGCTAACAGCATCTTTGACAGTCAAGCCGGTACAGATTCTGACAACCAAGGGGAAGGAATTAAACATGGCCAGAGGAGCAGACAGCTGTACTGACTGGGCTTCATGTCCAGGTGCACCATGCCGGAGCTGTGGATGTATCTGAGCCCGAGGGAAATCTGCAGAAGGATGTCCTTGAGTCTGGGCTCTGGGAAATGATTGCCAGACTTTGCGTTTTCAGTTATTGCAGCCTGCAAGCTCCCACCTAGGAAAAAACAACAGAATAGCCCCGCCGAATGAGAGGAAAAGGTGTGACTCTTATATGTGAAAGCCTAGTATGTTTTCAATACATTGCTCATGAATGAACTCAGTCAAACAAGTCTAAACTGCTTCAGTGTCGGCGTGAAACATAGTATCAGCTCCCTGTCTATACCACAATCATACTGGAAAGAATAATTAAGGGCCTTTAAAGAGGAAAAGAAAATGCCGTATCCTAGGTAGCCAATATGTGGCTCCATTGCCTTGAGTATGCCCCCAACTAACATTTAAAAAGCTTCACCTTGTTATCAACAGAAGATCAGCCAGGCCTAGTCAGTCAGCTACTGTGGTGTCGATGAATAATTCCATGTTGGTGTCAAGCTAGTGATTATAGGCCATTAGTAACTTTAATGTAATTGAATTCAAGTTTCCTTCCATTAAAATATATATCTCAAAATAAGAACATTTAATGATGGCTGACCCAAAGAAAATATAAAACCTCCATGTACACCTAACCCCTCTTTGAGCCAATGTGTTTGTATATCAACTCTTATCACTGTTGTCAATAAAAAGATAAGCCCTGAGCTCATCTGACTACCTGACCTCAGATGCCCTGCCCTAAGGTATTAGAATGCTTCTGAACCTTTTGATTCATTAATGAGCATTTGTCTATAGCCTCCTCAGTCAAGTTAGAGAATTCTGGGACCCCCGTCAGTTATAAGGCCTGTAAATCCCCACTTCAGGTGTGTATCAGAACAGTAGGGTCTGAGATGGTAACTGTACTTTTAAAGAAATCCATATTTAAAACTCTCTTATGTAAAACTGAATGTAAAGGTTGAACTGCCACATTCAGATAAATTCAGAAAGGAGAATTCAGCCCCTTTCAGAGACAAAAAAACAAAAACAAAAAAAAAGGCTAAAGGAGACGGGTTTTGTTTTTCCCTGGGAAACTTCTTAGGAAAGAATTTATGAACTGTAGCTGACATTAGAAAGGAAAAATAAGTAAAGAGTGCATTGGGGTTATTATAAACAAAGCCACCTTGAGGCTAAGTTTGCAGATGAGTTTATGAGATGTGATGGAGGAAAGGGGAGGTTGCATCAAGGCCCCTGGGTCTCCACTAGCCTGGCTGTTCTTTTAGGATGGGCCCGCAGCTCTTTCATCCTTCCTGTCCCATGGTCTGGCATGTAATCAGGATTTTCTGAACTGAATGTCTATCCTGGCAACAGAGGGAAAAAACTGAGTGAATGCCCCTATGCAATGTATGGAAAGAAATAAGCATCCTAGGTTACTTAGCATTCCTTTAATATGTTCCTTTAGATTATAATCAGAGGGATCTCTAATCCCCTGAGGAACGATGGGCATTTAGTAAGGGGAACTAGACTAGTGATAGCAACACTTTCAGTTACTTAGAATCTCTAGAGGTAGTGTTAAAGTTAGCCAAGTGATAAAACAGTAGAAGAGAAGTTACTGAAAAGTACTCATTCATATGACAGTATTAGAATATCCTTATTTTGCTAGAGCTAAAACTGATTGTCCACACACTCTTATAGAACAGCATAATGAACTGTTCTTTCCTAAAGAATATTAACAAGAAGTATCCATTGACAGGGGGCTTCCCCAGTGACTCAGATGGTAAAGAATCTGCCTGCCATACAGAAGACCCGGGTTCGATCCCTGGATCGGGAAGATCCCCTGGAGAAAGGAATGGCTACCCACCCCAGTATTCTTGCCTGGAGAATTCCATGTACAGAGGAACCTGGCGGGCTACAGTCTATGGGGTCGCAAAGAGTCAGACATGACTGAGTGACTAACACGTTTCACTTCACTTTCATGCATTTACAGACATAGCAATCCTGAGTGAACTGTAAACTTCATCCCTCCTAATCTCACCTGGGTGCACTGAAGCCTTAGTTCCGTAACCCAAGGTAGCCCCTGGCATTGGCTCCGTGCCTTAGGAGGTGCCCTAGGAGGAATACGGCCAGCTCCCGGGCAGTTCTTTTCAAACCATCTTTGTGAGATGAGTTGCTGAATTCCTTCCTTTAGATAAATGTACTTGCCCAACTTGGTAGGAGAAAAGATACTCCAGAAAAATATATCCTTGTTTTCCTGTCTGCTCATAAGACCTAACAGATGCCAAAACAAAGAAATAGCAAATACCTTCTGACAGTGAAATGCAAAAAGCAGGCCAACAGTTCAACAGCACATCTTATTTATATATTTGTATTCTCACTATGTTACTTTGCTGCCAATGACACAAGCCTAGCTGGTAAAATTGTCCCTTATCTGGTGGGAAAATATAACCTGTATTCATGGTGTTCCAACTTCTGGAAGTCACATCACTTGAGCAAATGTGAGAACCAGTATTCTAGGGGATCATGCTCTGTAAAACTTCTATTCCAGAAGACGTCACAAGAGAACACTGCGATTAGGGAGAGATTGGGCTTCCCAGGTGGTACTAGTGGTAAAGAACCTGCCTGCCAAAGCAGGAGATGTAAGACACACGGGTTTGATCCCTGAATCAGGAAGATCCCCTCGAGGAAGGCATGGCAACCCACTCCAGTGTTCTTGCCTGGAGAATCTCATGGACAAAGGAGCCTCTGGGACTACAGTCTATAGGGTCACAAGGAGTCGGGGATGACTGAAGCGACTGAGCACCCACACGCAGGGAGAGAATAATTATCCAGCCCTGAGCTGGTCAGAATCCTGGTTGTTGCAGAATCAGCTGGCTACTGGAGATCTCTGATTTCTGAGGCTGGCCCAGAGGTGACCTTCTAGGGGACCTTGGCTAGGGTGGCAGAGAGGGCAGAAACTTGTGATTGGTTCAAGGTTTACGAGGGACAGGAGGGAAATCAGATGAATGTTAGTCTCTCATAGTTAAAATCTACGTTATCTACATCATCTGATTTATAATTGAAGTTAAAACCGTAACCACACATGTTCCAGCCTGACTGCTATGAGAGGCTGGGTAGAGGGGTTTGGGCGGATATGGGTGGCTAAGGGTGGGTAAGGGAGGGTATGGGGAAACAGGGCATAGGATGAGAGGTGAGACAGAGGGGGAGAGGGAGGATGTAGGAGCAGAAGGAAAGAAGCACCGGCTACCTAACACATACTCTGGACTTCTTATCCTTTACTTAGACCCACTCCAATATTCCTGCCTCGAGAATCCCACGGACAGAGGAGCCTAGCAGGCTACAGTCCATGGGGTTACAAGAGTGCAACACCATTTAGCAACTAAACCACCACCACCACCACCAGGAAAAGTCTCAACATGGATTATCCTCAACAACAAACAAGATTTGCGTGCATGCGAAGTCACTCCGGTCGTGTCCAACTCTGTGCGACCCTATGCACTGCAGCCGGCCAGGCTTCTCTGTCCATGGGATTCTCCAGGCAAGACTACTGGAGTGGGTTGCTGAGCCTTCCTTCAGAGGGCCTTCCCAACCTAGGGATCAAACTTGAGTCTCTTACGTCTACCTTCATTGGCCTGCGGGTCCTTTACCACTAGCACCACCCGGGAAGCCCCACGAAAGGGCATGCTTTATTTTCCATCATCAGTTCACATTTGAAAGGTTCAATGTATGTGAATTACATTTTGCTAAATCACAGTTACATTTGAGTTGGCAAGTATTGAATAAAGTTAGTTGAAGCACCACGATGAACAAATACTAATTTCCCATAATATCTTATATCTAGTCCACACTCACTGCCTGGCTTTCAGTGCCCACTACAGGCTTCCCACACTTCACCCTGCTGGTCTGATTTCCTCCTACAGGGGTCACCTTAGTCCTGTTTAGTCTCCTTTCTATCTACTAGGCAAGACACATGCCCAGTACCATGCTTCTGGCCTGCAGGCTGGGCTTCCCTCTGCTTCCATAAACTCAAGGAATTCTTCTGCAAGGTCCCATTCAAGTCTTAGCTCCTTCGTGAAACTTTCTCAGGCTATGCTAATAACAAGTATTACCATGTTCTTACTATGTATTGGGACTTAATGATGTGCTAGCATTTGACATACACTGTTGCTAATTCTCAAATGACTCCTAAGTAAATATTAGTCTCTTTACTCAGTGAGATTAAATGATGTCTCAGTGATCCTGAGAGAAGTAAAGTGAAGTGAAAGTCACTCAGTCATGTCTGACTCTTTGCGACCCCATGGACTGCATAGTGCATAGAATTCTCCAGGCCAGAATACTGAAGTGGGTAGCCTTTCCCTTCTCCAGGGGATCTTCCCAACCCAGGGATTGAACCCAGGTCTCCCGCATTGCAGGCAGATTCTTTCCCAGCTAAGCCACAAGGGAAGCCCAGAAATACTGGGGTAGGCAGCCTACCCCTTCTCCAGGAGATCTTCCCCACCCAGGAATCAAACTGGGGTCTCCTGCGTTACAGGCCAACTTTACCAACCGAGCTGCGTGACAGAGCTGGGTTTTGAACTCCAGTCTGCCGACTTTAAAGCCCAGGCCCATCCCACCACACCCCGCTACCTGTGCTCACATTCGCCCTCTCTGGCCATTTTGTGTGCTCACTGTAAGAGAACAAATGGAATGAAGCTTCTTTAAAGTAAGGACTTACCTCACTCTACAGGATTTTGTACCCAAGAGCTTAATACAGCGTCAAGCCCATAGAAGACATTCAAATGTTGAAAAGAAGGAGATGATTTTGTAATAGATTGCTTCATCTTATTCTTTTTGAAAACTTGCAACTTTTACATTGCCCCAGTTAAAATTTCACATTGCCCACAGGTTAAAATTAGTTTTGCTTTATTGACTGATTTTTAAATTTGCTATTATCTTCGTTAATAGGTAAATGTTATGGAAATAAAATCAATCCTATCTATAGAGAGAGGGAAGAAAAAAAGAATAGGGACTCTCAGGTTATGATAAGAGGAAATTAAGAGAAGATGATTTAAAAAAAAGGTCTCAACTACTCAATCACAAGTATAAGGAAAGGGTCCATTTTGTTTTAACCCAAAGAAACTGTTAGAAAAAGGGATTTGGGGTGAGCTTATTAAAGAAAAAAAAACTCATGAAGTTTACACGTAAGGCTATGAGAAAAGCAGGCTATAAGGAAATAACAAGGAAGATGCCAAGTTATTATTTCGTAGAATATGTGTACCACTGTCTATGCTTCTAGCATCTCATAATTCTATTTACTTACCTACATGTCAAAGTAAGCATGTATACAGTGTTGAAGCTTTATCACTAATCACTGTCCTCAAAAGCCAGGCTATCTGGTGGTAACTAAACTTACCCAAAGACAGACTGCACCATTAAAACAAAAACTCAGGGTAGGTGTGTATGTTGGGGGGATGCCATTATCCATTATTACTGGGGCTAAAATATGGATTGCAAAATGTGGCTGCATCCTAAAATGATGACAAGCTTCTATCCAATTGGTAGCACTTTCCTACTATACCACTAAACATTTTAATGAAAATGTATTTCCAAGAATAACAATACATAACTGCTATTATGTAACCCCTTAATCATAGATAAGCACTATTAAATCATGGATTAGAAATATGTTTATCCAAAGGACCACTCTTTGTGATTTAAGTAGTGCAGAAAAAAGTTTTACTGGTTACTGTGCATACATAGTCCCGAAGGACATAGGAGGATGTATCTGAAGTCACTAGATTTCAGTCCCAGCACTCCACCCCCATGCCCCTACTCTTGTGAGAACACTTAAAGCTCAAAGGTAAGAAGCAGCTAGAAACATGAACAATCCCCAAACTAAGGAATCCACTTCAAAATTAATCAAAAGTTAGCTATATAAGTCTACCACTTCCTCCTCCAAAATAGTAGAGACTATGGTTTACATCTTTTAAAGCACTTAGTAAATGGTAAAAAGATGATTTACCATTCAAACCACTAGTGTAAAAGTTTTCTAAGTATTAATTAAAGTGAGAAGGATGTGATAGCTCCTATGTACCAACTACACATCAGCTTTGAAAGAAACACCTAATGGCATAAGCCTGAAGTTCCTTTCCAGCTCAACTCATTTCCTCCAGCTCTCTTGCTTCCAAGCAAAACAGCAGTACAGACTTTTAGGTATGATTTGCTATACCTGCTATCAAGTACAAGAAGGAAGCAAAGATTTTTTTCCAAAGACTTAAAAGCTAATCCTCCCTCTCCATAGATATGAGCCCACATACCTACCATTGCAGTATTCATTTTGAATGATCATGTAGTCGTCTTCTGCCCACGCAGAGTAGTAACGAACCACATGGGGGTGGTGTCCCAGCACTGCATGGGCATAAACTTCATGCATAGCCAGATTCCTAAGAGATGGAAAAGCATTCAGGAAACTGAAAATAATACACATACAAATTTTTTAAAGACGAGATATGAGGCATTATTCACAATGGCAGAACATTTATTGAATGCTCACTGCTGATTTACTTACTATCTTATCACATTTAATGTTTGTAACTCCTCTATATGATACAGTGACAAGGATGAAGCCTTTAAAAAGTTAAGTGGTTGGCCCAAAGTCGAGCTGGTGATCATATATCTAAGACCAGAACCTTGGCTGTCCTGGGCCCAAGTCCATGGTTTTTTGATTGAACAGGATATATGTAGAGAGGAATCTTAGGTGTCCATTACCTCAGAAGCAGGCTTGTTTAGATTCTGATTTTCACAATCTAAAAACCCTGATGGGCTTAACAAGAAATGGACTTGATTGTGGATACTGTGATGGGCCCACTACCATCCCTATGAAAGCTCGACAGTTGCTATGTGTGTGGTCAGTCACTCGGTCGTGTATGACTCTGCGGCCCCTTGGGCTGTAGCCCGCCAGGCTCCTGTGTCCATGGTATTTTCCAGGCAAGATTACTGGAGTGGGTTGCCATTTCCTACTCCAGGGGACCTGCCAGACCCAGGGATCGAACCCGGGTCTCCCATTTCTCCTGAATTGCAGGCAGATTCTTTACCCACCGAGCCGACAGAGAAGCCTTTACAGTCAGTGCTAAACTCTGCTGGTATGATGTAGTCACAGGCACAGTCCCGAGGACAGATATCCATCATGGAATAGGAAAATCCAACACAAAAAAAAGATGCAAAATATGGTGCTTGATTGATTTCAGTATATAAATGAAGAATTCCAAAGACTAATTTCAGATTCAGCATTTTAGTATTATATTTCCCAGCGTTCACAAAAAGCAATGGCTAAATCTGAAAATATTTGTTTTCCTTGTGAAAAGGAAGAACTTTTGAACAATTAGTTCTAGGAATGAAATTTAAATTTTTGTCCATGTTTCCTGGCTTAGAGTTTTTCAAACTTGACTATTGAATTTATTATTAATACAAAGTAGAGATAACCAGTGAGTTAACAATAACTTGGTAGTATTTCTGATGAACTAAACAGATGCCAGAAGATCCTTTCCTAAATCCATTCACTGAAAAAAAAAAGTAGTAAGACCAGTAGTAAAAGCCATGAGAAATTTTTAAAAAAATCAAACACACAACACAATTCCAAATGCTCATGGTATGTTTCAGGAAATAACTTATCTCTGATCTTGAAAATTCAGAAAGGTTACAAATGTGAGACAGCTTTCAGTGGTAAGGTTGACTTTTAAAAGTAGCAAATGACATCAGTGCTCTTATTTAAAATGTTTTGACAAATCCAAGTGTATATTTCTAGTACATTTTAAAGGTACTCACTCATCTGATAATCCTCCCAAAGGTTTCGTGGAGCGTTTTATTGCATAAACACATCCATCCAGCCTCTTAATGCACTTGTAGACTGTACCAAAGTCTCCAACACCAATTTTTTCTACCTCCAAGAATTCTTTTTCATAGCGGGAAGCCATGTTGGTTTCTCTTAAAACACATCTCTGAAATATTTTAGCAAAAAAGTGAAATATTTTAGAATAAAATTTAGGCATATTATATCCCTCAATTTCCCTAAGTTTCCAAAAAGACTTTTGAGGCAAATCCATTGGATTCTGTCTGTGTCAGTGTTCATGGTGGCAAGAACCAGCCCTCTCCCACCGCCCTGCCACAGTTGCTGACTACCTCCTCTGTGCTCCTTACAGCCTTCCATACAACTCTGCACCAACATTTCTCTTGGCTAGCTTATTGAATCTAACTCTGTGTTATTTCCTCTGTCTGGGCATACTCTTCTTCCCTATGTTTGTCCCTAGAGGCAACAGCGCACCCATAGCCAGAGCCGCTGTCCTCAGCTGAAAGGAGTGGTGGGCTCTTGGAGGAGGATGCCAGACAAACGACTCTTGTTTACTTGTCTCACACTCTGGCTGCTGATGTTTCATCTTAAGCGCAATAAACATACTTTTTAGTTTGCTTCCCACAAAACCTTAGTCAAGAGAACAAAACTGTCAAATTGATTTATTTCAGAATGTGTGAGGAGCTACGGCAACCGCTCCCGCTACTGGCCAACCGTGACATCACTCATTGCTCTGCTAAGGAAGGAACTCGAGCAAGTCACTGAACTCCTGTATCCGTTTTCTCATTTATCAGGTGAGGATCAGAGCAACTATGCCTCAGGGTCCTTTCAAATACTGCGTGAGAATTACATATATTACAAATACATACAAATTCTCAATAAAAAGTAGCTCTGATGATAGGAATATCCATAGATTTATAAGAATCTCAGTCCAAACTGATTCATCTCTGTGAAATCACCTTTTCCCAGTATCTCCATTAGCAAGAACTTTTTCCATCTAACTTTAAATGTTTAAAAAATCTTAACTCTTACCAGCTCTTCATTTTCAACATCCAGGCCCAATCAGTCTTCATAACAAGATCTATAATTTCCCTTGCCCTTACCAGCCTCACGGAGAAGGCAATGGTATTTCAGTGACAATCCCACTCCAGTACTCTTGCCTGGAGAATTCCATGGATGGAGGAGCCTGGTAGGCTGCGGTCCATGGGGTCCCTGAGTCGGATGACTAAGCGACTTCACTTTCACTTTTCACTTTCATGCCTTGGAGAAGGAAATGGCAACCCACTCCAGTGTTCTCGCCTGGAGAATCCCAGGGATGGGAGAGCCTGGTGGGCTGCCGTCTATGGGGTCGCACAGAGTCGGACACGACAGAAGCGACTTGGCAGCAGCAGCAATACCAGTCTTAAGCTCATGCAAGAGCTTGCTCCACCTCTGGACTTGCTCCAGCTGCCAGCCCTTTCTCTGTCTCCTCTATCAGTAAAATTATTTTTGTGAAATGATGCCATAGAATGAGACAGACCTAATTGTTTCCCATGAGGAATCCTCACCTCTGATCAGAGGCCTGGAGGCTCTGCTAGTGCCTACCTGCTCCCTTATATCCTCATCTCAGACACCAAGTACCAGCTTACCATCCATATCACCCTTCCGCATCCTCCCCCTGCCCTGTACGGACACTGAACATTATACTGTCATGAAAACTTGCCTACGTCCAACATGCCATCTTGATGGCAATTTAATATTCTACTGATTTTATGCTCTAATTTAATTGACCATTCTTCTATTATTGGATATTTGGTACTCCCTCTATTTTTTTTTTCTTTTTTTGCTCTTATAATTAAGGCTGCAACAAACATCTCTGGTGGTAATATTTACAGCATTATTTTCTTAGTTTTGATTATTAAATGAGGGATAATAGATCAAAGATTGTGAACATTATAAAATCAATAGATACTGACACATTTAAGAACTAAAATTTTTACATATAAACCTCTGGCTTTATGCTATTTTTCTGCATTTTTTTTTTCTTTTTGGACCTTAAATGTCTTGATGTTCCCTTTACTTCTGCTCCCCAGGAATACAGAACTTTTCCCCAGATCAAAGACAGAAGCAGTAGCCTTGAATTTAAGAATAGTCCAAGGTAATGATTCAGCAGTATAAATGTCAGACACTGTCTGATAAAGTAACAACTAGCTAAGAATATAGACCTTGATTACAGTCCAGATAAATTCAGCTGCAAAACATATTTACTACAAGTGTCAAGGATTGGGAAGGGAGGGAGGAAGGGAGAAAGACAAGGTATTTGAATGAAATGGCTGTGTTACAACAGCTGGGCCACCAGCTCAGAGCAGCGCTTACCTTAGCAGGCAGCCCTTGTTCTCCCTTGCCTTCTCCTGGACTGGATTGCTCACTTGGGGGGGAAAAAAAAAGATTATCAATGTATGATTAACACTTATGGACCGTGGTACTGTGCTAGGTTTGGGCACAATACAAGTAAATAAGACAATTATTTTCCCTCTTCATCTATATTTAGAAGCAGGAATCAACAGAAGTTTTTAATACAAGAACCTAGGACAGTATTAAAAACAAGATATGAAGGATACTCTAGACAGTACTATACACTCTATTTTGAAAGTAAAAGCCTTTCCGCAAAAAAAGAGGATATATAAGCTAAGATTCCAAGAATGAGGAGGAACCAGCTAAGAGAAAAGAAAAAGGGTTTCAGACAAATAGACAAGGTATGCTGAGATGTGGAGTCAAGAGAGCTTACAGAACATGTGAGAAACTCTTAAGGGCTGTTCACGCCTGCAATATAATGTGTCCTGGGCAAAGCTTGCCTTCCCCAGAGCCTGGCCTGTCTTAGGTTCACAAGCTGACTGTAGGCATAGCAAAATGCACTCTAATCCTAGCTAAGATGTTTTCAATTACTTTTCAATAAGCTGAAGTCTCTGATGGATATTCTCTTTTGGCATGAGCAGATGAATTCTGGAATCTTTAAGCAAAATTTCAGATTCTAGATCAATTAGGTTTCTTTTCTGGACAAGTACAGGGTCAAAATGGCAAATGGAGGACATTATACTCACACAAAGAAATTGATGCAGGCAAACTTGTGACTTAAATTTAATACTACATTCTAATCTTTACAATAAAATAACAACAACACAATGAAAAAGAAGGGAAAATACCCTCTCAGAATCACTAAGTGATTTTACTAAAGTGTCATCACTTTCAGAGCCAGGAATTCAAATTAGCAGTCTTTTCCTGCTAGCTTCAGTGACAGATGAATCCATTCACTCTGCAGGTTTACAAAGCATCCTGAAGAGCTAAAAACCAGTGGAATACTCAATAACAAGAAGAGATCCAGGGTACTTGTGCTCGAGTCCTATTTACTTAAGATCCAAGAAACAGTATTGAGAAAAACCTGTTCTGGCTACAAGGTTGATTAATATGGCGTCACTGATTCCAAAATAACACAACACATTAAATGCTCTATAGACTTTAAGATTGTTAGCTCTACCTTTATTTTGCTGAGTACATCTGAGCACAAGAGACTGGCCTGTTTTAGAGGTGCTTCCATTCTATTAAAAAAAAAAAAAAGGCAGCACTGAAGATAAGAAATGTCCTTGAGGGCTTCCCTGATGGTCTTGTGGTTATTATTCCTCACTTCATTAAAGGGAGCACAGGTTCTCCCATCCCTGGTCAGGGAACTAAGATCCCACATGCTGCCAAAGATGAATAAGTAAAAATAAAAGCAAGTACCCCTTCACTCCCTCACATATGGGTAGGGTCACTTAAAAGAAAAAAAAAAAACCCTGAGTAATCTGCAAACTCCTTATTTAGGCAATTTCTGCCATTGAGTGACCTTTGTAGAATAGTGCAGTCAGCTCTCCATCTATTAGCACCTCCAAAAGCAACACTCTTTTTCTCTTCAGCTAATCTTTCATCACCCACAGAGGAGTTCAAATTCTGGCTCTGTATCTGTCATCGCCAGTCATGCCACTGGATTCAAAACAGCACTGTACTCTCTGAAATGAGAATGACACCTTCCCCAACTGCTAGCCTCATAGTAACCAGAGGGGACCCCTTGAGAGCAATTCCACTGCCCGTTCGGCTTCCTAATAGAAGTCAGGCTTCCTAATATAAGTCTTCACTTACTCTGCTCTGTTCTTTCAAAGAGAAGGCATTTTACTGTGCACTTTGTTATGGAAAGGTGTTAGGATCTCTGTGATGAAGAAGGTTATAGCCAACACTGACATTTAGGAAGGAGGAGATATATAAACATGATGTTTATCATTTAAATATACATTGTTTATTGCTAGTCTTTAACACTCTCCTTTCCTTTCGACAATAGTTAAGACCAGTTCTCAAGAGTCATAGCAACAGGACACTTACAGATCGCCTCGGGTTTTCCTCTTGCCATTGGATATAAGGAATTGTTTTCTATAGGACTCCGGAGTGAAGGGATTAATGTTGACCAGAGCCAGTGAGGTCATCTCATCGATGAACGGGCCGGGTGTGAGCTTCAGATGCTTAGAGCTTCTGGGGAGAGGCTTCCCTGTTGAAGAAATCATTGACTGGCTCACCTGACCCTGAATGAGGATGACAAAAGACAAATCAGAATGAAGTTAATTAAAAAAAAAAAATGGTTCTGTATCAGTTAGGTAGTTAACATTTCAACCAAAAAAAAAGTTATTGCTGAAAGGGATCTTCAAGGGTACCTGGTACAGTGCAAATTATTTGCATGGTAACTAGTCCTCTTGTGAAACATACAGATCCCCAGACTACCTCTAGATATTTTGATTCATGGGATCCACAAAGCAATCTGTACTTTTATTTTAATGTTTTTTTTATTGTGGTAAAAGTCACAGAATATAAAAAATACTATTTTAACCATACTTAACTGTATGTTACATTCAGTATGTTCAGTGGCAGTAAGTACATTCGCATTGTTGAACAACTCTCAAGCAATCTGTTCTTGTGTCAACTTCCACTCCCTTCCCCTGGGCGATTCTGTTAGCCAGCTGAGAGACCACCGGTTGGAGTCCTACCTCCAGCTTTTTAAAGGTGACATTGAAGCTTAGACAAACAACGACGCCAAAACCCCCGGCACTTTGGTTCCCAGAGCATGTACTTTAATTTCCCCTCAGTTTTTCATCCCAATATTTGTTTGTTGGCTGCTAAGTAGCAGGTGAGCTTCCCTGCTCAACCGGTAAAGGATTTGCCTCTAATTCTGGAGACCTGGGTTCTTGCTGGGCTCGGTGCTGAAGGGTGAATTCCAGCTTTTAAAGAACACGAAGTCCACTAGTCCGCAGCTTAAAATCACTTTATAAGGGAAAGATTTCATAGACTAAGCATGGAAGAAGTTCCCAGTTCCACTTAAAATGTAGCACCAGTTGAGAGGAGCTCCATGAGATGGGGTAGAGAGGTTGAAAAGGAATAGTCTAAGCCCTTCAGATGCAAGGCTCTGCAGGGGCTGTAACTAGCATACTAATCCATAGGAAAATGTGCAGGACTTACCACTCCAAGTGGGGTATAGTGAAAGAGCACCAGCCCAAAACACAACCAGAATTAAATCAAACCACAGAGGTTAAGAAATCAAAGAATTCTGATGAGACAGCAGAATGCTATTATGACCTAAGCACCAGGGGCCAGAGGAATGGCTATGTTATAGATTCAAGAGGACACTAGTAGACCCCAGGGCCAAGATATTACCTCACAGTATAATTACTGTGGGCTTCCCCGGTGGCTCAAATGGTAAAGAATCTGCCTGCAGTGCAGGAGACCCGGGTTCAATCTCTGGTCGGGAAAATCCCCTGGAGAAGGGAGTGGCTACCCACCTCAGTATTCTTCCCTGGAGAATTCCATGGACAGAAGAGCCTGGCAGACTATGGTCCATGAGGTCACAAAGAGTAAGACACACCTGAGTGACTAACTATAACCATTGTATTGTGAGGCTCTTTCAGAAAGAATTCTACCGTTTTGATTGTCTCTGCCTATGACTTTTGAGTGTAGAAGCTGAAGTTACATTACAACATGACTCACTACATAATGTAATTAAAGACATGAGTCTACAAAGAATGTATCCTGAACTTATTAATAAATACTCATTAAATGATTGATAGAAGCAGAAATGAAGGAAGCAACATAGTAACCTAACATTGTTTTAAATGAAGAAAAAATTGACCCTCAATGAAGAGTTTTGATAAGGGCTTACATAGGTCTTAGAATTCAGAGGGTCAACAAACCTTGGGGCTATCATTATTCAAAGCCATCAATGACAAACAATTTTCCCATAAGTTTACTGTAAGGGTTGAGTATTGGTTCAAAAGAAATAAAACTATACAATATGGTATTTCTCAATGGTCAATGTGATTCAGGAAGTGAATTTAGAATTATAGTAAATCATTTTCTGAAACAGTTTTTTTTTTAATGCTGATTAGCACAGAAAATAAAATATACCTGTCACATATGAAACAGTAGGGCACCAACTCCTGGAACAGTTCACATAATTCCAGTTGCTACAATTCAAGGACAACAAAAAGGGCCTAGAAACTTTTCAGCTAAAAGTAAGGAAAAGTGTTCATATCAAGGCAGACTGTACCAGAATTCCTAGTCCGGAAATATGAAGGCTGATATATTTTGTGAACTCCACTTAAAATATAGAGAAAGACATTAATACACATTTTATGGGCAGAGTGATAGAATTATGAGTAATACTTTTGAAATCTAAAAGAACACAGTTTGCAAGAAGATTTATGATGAAAATGAGTTCTGCCTGGAAATAAAACAGACTGAAAATATGGAAAGATGACCAGGTGCAAAGTAAAAGTGTGTCCCAGAGAGTGTAGCTAGTTCTATGTAAGTAGCAGCTCTTATAACAGGCGATTAAGAGAAAGAAAGGATATTTGGGGAATAGCTCCTTGACTTCTAAAGACGGTGAGAGAAGGTGGCAGCCTCCCATAAGGCACAACATCACAGGGAAAGACTTTGAAGGCCCCGCACCAACTGTTAGCTTCCTGATGCTCGACTCCCTGCTACAGCATTCCTACACTAGTCAACTAGTGTTCCATGCATTTAGCCACAGGGAACTTACTACCTCCTAAGGAAACTCTTCTATATCTAGATAATTCTGCTAGGAAGTCCTTATGATGACCTGGCCATTTCACATAATTTCTGGTCCTATCCCTGTAGCAAGGCTGAATTAAGCCAATCCTACCTTGCTCTGCATTCCTGTCTTTAGTGCTGTGTGCTCGGTGATGTCCAACTCTGTGCGATCCCATGAACTGTAGCCCACAAGTCTCCTCTGTCCATATTTTCCAGGCAAGAACACTGGAGTGGGTTACCTTTCCCCTCTCCAGGGGATCTTCCCGACCGAGGGATCAAACCCACATCTGCTATATCTCCTGCACTGGCATGTGGATTCTTGACCACTGAGCCACCTGGGAAGCCCATCTTTAATACAACATCACCAATTACCATCACCCTGGCCTCTCTCCTCTGATCTTGATCCCAACTATATTTTTCATAAAGTGTGTACTTTTTCAGTTGCTTCCCAGTTTCCCTGCCAAGCTCTGTTCTCTTTCTGTCCCTTAAATCTTGGTATTTCTAGAGTTCCTAACTTGTACCACTCTTCTTAGTCTGGCAGACAGGTTACATAAACTTAAACACACCCATGGCTTCAACAGCTTCCTAAATGCCGGTGACATCCAAGTAGAGCTCTCCAACTGGGGTTGTTTTCCTGCAGTGCAGAGCCATGTATCCAACAACTTACACCATATCTCTTTCTCCAAACCTATACCTCCTCTAATGTCACCTACCCGATTCAAAGTACCATCTACTCAATCAGACAAGCAGGAAGCCTCACAGCCCCTGAGACCACTCCTTTCCCAGCAACCCCTCCATCAAGTCAGTTACCAATTCCTAAACATCTCTCAGCTTACCACAGTCCACCACTGTCCTAGTTCAGGCCTTTTTTGAGAAAAGGCCCTTCTCTTTTCTCAACAGATCTATTGTGAACACTGCCCTGCCTCATTGGTCTCTCCCACTCCATTCCATCCTTCACATGAAAGTCATGATTTCTCAAAAACGGCCTCTGGCCAAAACCACTTAATGGCTCTCTCAACACTTTCAAGGTAAAATCTTGGTCTAGCTCCTACCTACCTACCTACTCTGGCCCCACTACCTGCCCTCTCACACACCCAGACCCCTGCTGCTCTGAATAACATGTAGTTTTCCAGGTGTGGCATGATCTTTTCCCTCCAGGACTTGGTAGATATTTTTCCCTTGGCCTTGAGTTCTCAATCCTTCTCTTCCTAGCAAACTCCAACTCATTCTGTAAGATTGCTCTCAAATATTGCTTTCTTTGGAAAGGTTTCCTGGCTATCTTGAGACTTAATGTCTCATTACTTTTCACCACACTCTACCACTCCTTATGTTCACCTGCTCTGAACTTATTATTGCTTACTTTTGTATATCTTTTTCAATCTGTCTCCAAAAATTATGGAAATAAAAACAAAAATAAACAAATGGAGCCTAATTAAACTTAAAAGCCTTTGCACAGCAAAGGAAACCATAAACAAAACCAAAAGACAGCCCTCAGATACAGAGAAAACATTTGCAAATGATGCGGTCGACAAGGGATTTAGCCTCCAAAATTGACAGACAGCTCGTGAGGCTTAATATCACTAAAACAAACAATCCAATCAAAAACTGGGCAGAAGACCTGAATAGACATTTGTCAAAAAAAGACAAACAGATGGCCAAGAGGCACATGAAAAGATGTTCAACATCACTAATTACTAGAGAAATGCAAGTCAAAACTACAATGAGCTATTGCCTCACACCATTTTGTAGGCACTTGTTGAGGCAGTGAAAGGCTTATCAGCAGAAGGTCTGCTAACATATCAAGGTGTTCAAAGTTTTCAGTGAATGGAAGAAAATATACATACCATGTCATTTCCTTGCCTGTGCACTATTGCTCAGAACCATATGCTCTCAATCCACTCTCCCCCAATTGCCATGTGTTAAAACCATACCAACTATCATTAACCTTCTTGTACTTGCTTTAAGTTCATTTCTTTTCTGACCAGCCACTGAGAAACAACCTACCCAGAGAACTCTGACCACGCTTGAATCACCTACCACGTGGTATCTGCAGACACATCTCCCCTCCGGGAGATTGCCATATGCTCCCAGACCACAGTGGGTTCTCAAAAAATAAATGGATGATTGATTGGTTATAGGGACCATTGAAAAACCCACAGATGGATGCATGAAGGTATGAAAGTAGTTTGTCTACCACTCAGACAAGAAGCCTGGTATTTCCTGGTAGATGTGGAGACCACCCTCGGCAGGTACAAAGGAGACCTGCTGACAGTGACTGCGCTGCCAGCAGAAGCAGAGATGTTATTACCATGATCTTAAGTGCCTCAAGCCGAGCCAGCAGAAAGCAGAGCTAATTCCAGGCCTAAGGCTCTTATGCCATGTCACCAGTCTAGACAGAGGTACCCCTGCCCAATCCTAGCTTTAATAGTATGAACGATGTAATAGGAGACCAAGCACAGCAAAAAAGAAAGGAAGATGCTTTCTCGGGACTTTTGCTTGTTTGCCATCCTCAGCTTATAAAGTAGTATCAACGTTACCTCTTGTTTACCTATAAGAGCCTGTTCATCACTAGACCAAGAAAGGGTGAGGACTTCTTTCTGAAAAGAGCATCAGCAAAGATATATATATATATATGTTCAAACAGTGAAGTACACATATTAGGCAATAATAGTAAATAATCACAGAAAAATAGAGCCAGTTGGCGTAATGTAAAGAACAATAGAATAAGCTCCAAAGATTGTGTATCCAGTCCTTTTGCTGCCATTGGCTGAGTAACAGGCCAGTTTCTCTCCTAAGACCTTGGTTTTCTCATAGGTAGAATATAGACTGGGCTTCCCTGGTAGCTCAGTGGTAAAGAATCTACCAGCCAATGCAGGGGACATGGGTTCGATCCCTGGGTTGGGAAGATCCCCTGGAAAAACAAATGTAACCCACTCCGTTATTCTTATCTGGAAATCCCATGGACAGAGGAGCCTCGTGGGGATCACAAGGGTTGGACATGCCTTAGCGACTAAACAATAACAGAGTACAGTCTGGCCTATAGACCTCTATTTTTTCCAGCTCCAGTATTCTTTCACTAGGAACGTTTTCCCCATCCAAGATTTATCTGGGGCCTACAGCAATGGTTCTGAGTAGACAGCTGAAAAGACACTTAATTCTGTTTTCTGGTAGCTTTCAACTCTTCTTCATTTTCACCAGCAAATACATAATACAGACATATACAGAGCATGGAGCGCATCCGTGACACACCCAGACTGCACCCTCATTCTCTATCAGCTGAACTGAAGGAACACAGGCCCAGGTGGCCTGGCTTCCGCTCCCCCCATAGCGGACTTACTTTGGGAGTGAAGAGGCTCTCACAGTGTGACAGCCTGCTCTTGTCTGGTGGGGCTGGTGGTGTTTCAGGGCATGCGAGAGAGTGTGATGCTGGAGTCCCGAGACCCTGGCCTGGACTTGCTTGGTCTCTTGCGTGAAATGCGCTGAGGTCACGTTTGTTACTAAGGGGCGTTCTGGGAGGTGTGAGCTTCGCCTCTGGATCCTGACCTCTAGGCCTCTCTGGGGTTTGACTCTGGGTCTCCTCGCCCTCCTGGGCTTGCTTCTGCACCCTGTTCTCATGCTCCTCTTCACAACGGGAGAAGCTTAACTTCTGCTTCAGTCCTTTATTCTCATCGTTGTCACCCATCTCAGCTGAAGAGCTTTACCACCTGGGCGAGAAGGCCTAGCAGAAGGAAACACAGCTACTGAAACAGGAGGAGAAAGAACGAAAGCTGACACATTCCCCAGTCCCAGCCCTGCTTTCCTTCGGCCAACTAACAGCTACACGGAGACACGCCATTGGTTTTCTCACTTAAGTACCATGCACCCATAAGATCTCAGCTTCTCCCTATTTCCATTCTGATTAAAGAAGGCTGCAGTAACTTTTTGAGCAATTAAATCCAATTTATGTATAAAACTCCTGCAGTCTCCCTGAACCCACGTGCTACCATCTACTAGAGAGACACTTGAATTCTTTGCTCTGGCATGGCTTTAAACACACACATCGGATCTGTAATTTTACTTAACAATAAAAGTTACAACAAATTTTTAAAAAATACATATTTGCTAATTAGGAACAAGCTCATTATTGGAAAGACATCATTTTCACTCTTTTCTACCTACCAGTTAGAAATATGGCCCTCTTCTCTCCACAATCACCACCCACCCAGTGGCTAATAGCAGTTCCTTAGAATTCAGTATCACCTGGATAGCATAATGATCATCAAACTGCAGCTAACATATCTTGGCTAGAGTTCATCTCTCTAATAGATACACACCTGAGATCTCTACCATATACACCTGTCCTAATTCAGGCATCTCCACACCCTCCTCTCACCCCTGGGTATGAGCAGTTAAAGCGTTTAGAGAACCAGACACATTTTTATATCAAAAAAAAAAAAAAAAAAGGGAAGGTAGAAAGACCAGCAACACAGAGACAGATAAATGTATTACTAGAAAATGGTGACTACTTGGGCCCCAAATGCCTTATTTTGTAAAATGTATTTCCTTACCGTTTAGATATCTTTTACATACATTATTCAATTTCTTTCTCAGAGTGGTCCCTATGGGGAGGGTAAAAGTAAAAAATGCTTTGAGGAGCAAAATAAGGCCACCAATATCATTTTATAGGAGAAACCATGTGAAAGGCAATCTGTGAAAAAGGAAAATGATGTAATGAGACCCTGGTGCCCTCAGGGGAGACTCTGGAGGGACTGGACATGAGGAGTTATTTGCATGATAGATGTGGACCCAAAGTGAGAGCTGGTGGGGATGATTTTGCTGTTAGTTTTTTTAATTTGGCTGTGCTGGTTCTCAGTTGTGGCAGCGAACTCTCAGCTGCAGCAAGTGGGATCTAGCCCCCTGACCAGGGATCAAACCCCGGTCCCCTGCATTGACAGTGGGGATTTTTAGCCACTGGACCCCTAGGGAAGTTCTGGGTTTGGTCTTGAATGAAACAAACTCACTGTCCCATCTCTTGATAGTCTTTGGTCATCCATTACTTGGCACCCACCTTCCACCTTCTCTCTCTTTACCAATCCCTCCACTCCTTTCTCCCCTCTCACTCCCTTCCTATTCCCCACCTGAACTCATTAGGAAGTTAATCCAAGAGAAGAGTAACTGGGGGCATATGAAAGTGTCTTTTTAGCTAAACGCCTTCTCATGTCCCAGCTTTTTAGGTGTGCACACCACCCAAGCCTTCTTTTGTCCTTCCCAGTCCCTCCTGCCAAGCCGACTTTCCAGATCACTCAACAGGGTAGCTCCCTGCTCACCTTGGTCAGAGATTTGGCATCCCACACTTCCCTGGTGGCTCAGATGGTAAAGAATCTGCCTGCAATGCAGGAGACCTGGGTCCAATCCCTGGGTCTTCAGGAAGATCCCCTGGAGAAGGAAATAGCAACCTACTCCAGTGCTCTAGCCTGGGGAATCCCACGGACAGGAGAGCCCGGTGGGGTGCATGGGGTCACAAGGAGATGGACATGACTGAGCAACTAATGCTTTCACTTTTTCACAAAGAAGTTCCTGTTAACTGAGATTCTGGGCTTTGGAGTTGGGTTCTTGTTTACAAACCAGGAGGCCATATGATATAATTCCTTCACTACAGCCTTGGTGCTGATCAGTTTTCCCCTCTTGAGGTCATAACTAGTCATTCTCACCTCTCCAGGCCAGCTGGAGACTGCCTCTGCTCTTGGGTGGGTTGAGACTAACCTGAAACAGCCTGGATCACAGGCCTGCAGGCAGAGCACAAGGCTGGGTTGTTTGTTTTCACCATCACCCTTGCCTTTCCTCTCTGCCTTGCTAGAATTCTCAATTACCTTTCTTAAGGACTGCACTGTTTGCCTAGGGCGGCAACTATGCCATCGTGATGACTTAGATCTTACATTATCAGCAGTAATTCTATCAGAAATGTGTGCCATTCACCTTCTGTGTATTAGCACTCTGCAGATGAATTTGCACTCAATATGCCAGCAAATTTGGAAAATTCAGCAGTGGCCACAGGACTGGAAAAGGTCAGTGCATTCCAACCCCAAAGAAAGGCAATGCCAAAGAATGCTCATCCTACAACACAATTGTACTCATCTCACACGTTAGTAAAGTAATGCTCAAAATTCTCCAAGCCAGGCTTCAACAGTATATAACCATGGAAATTCCAGATGGAATTTCCAAATGTGGAACTGTGAAATTCCAGATGTTCAAGCTGGTTTTAGAAAAGGCCGAGGAACCAGAGATCAAATTGCCAACATCTGTTGGACTATCAAAAAAGCAAGAAGAGTTCTAGAAAAACATCTATTTCTGCCTTATTGACTATACCAAAGACTTTGACTGTGTGGATCACCACAAACTGTGGAAAATTCTGAAAGAGATGGGAATACCAGACCACCTGACCTGCCTCCTGAGAAATCTGTATGCAGGTCAGGAAGCAACAGTTAGAAATGGACATGGAACAACGGACTGGTTCCAAATAGGAAAATGAGTACGTCAAGGCTGTATATTGTCACCCTGCTTATTTAACTTATATGCAGAGTACATAATGAGAAACCCTGGGCTGGAGGAAGCACAAGCTGGGACCAAGATTGCCGGGAGAAATATCAATAACCTCAGATAGGCAGATGACGCCACCCTTATGGCAGAAAGTGAAGAGGAACTAAAAAGTCTCTTGATGAAAGTGAAAGAGATGCGTGAAAAAGTTGGTTTAAAGCTCAACATTCAGAAAACTAAGATCATGGCATCTGGTCCCATCACTTCATGGCAAATAGATGGGGAAACAGTGGAAACAGTGACAGACTTTATTTTGGGGGGCTCCAAAATCACTGCAGATGATGACTGCAGCCATGAAAAAGATACTTACTCCTTGGAAGAAAAGTAATGACCAACCTAGACAGTATATTAAAAAACAGAGACATTACTTTGCCAACAAAGGTCCGTCTAGTCACGGCTATGGTTTTTCCAGTAGTCATGTATGGATGTGAGAGTTGGGCTATAAAGATAGCTGAGCGCCAAAGAATTGATGCTTTTGAACTGTGGTGTTGGAGAAGACTCTTGAGAGTCCCTTGGACTGCAAAGAGATCCAACCAGTCCATCCTAAAGGAAATCAGTCTTGAATATTCATTGAAAGGACTGATGCTGAAGCTGAAGCTCCAGTATTTTGGCCACCTGACACAAAGAACTGACTCATTTGAAAAGACCCTGATGTTGGGAAAGATTGAAGGCGGGAAGAAAAGGGGACAACAGAGGATGAAATGGTTGCATGGCATCACCGACTCGATGGACATGAGTTTGAGTAGGCTCTGGGAGTTGGTGATGGACAGGGAGGCCTGGTGTGCTGCAGTCCATAGGACTGCAAAGAGTCGGACACGACTGAGCGACTCAATTGAACTGATGATTGTTGCTAAGGCTTCAGATATAACTAGTTATAATGCATGCATGCATGTTTGCTAAGTCACTTCAGTTGTGTCCGACTCTGTGGCCCTATGGACTGTGGCCCTCCAGGCTCCTCTGTCCATGGAATTTTCCAGGCAAGAATACAGGAGTAGGTTTCCACTTCCTTCTCCAGGAGCTCTTCCCAACCCAGGGATCAAACCCACGTCTGTTGCATCTCTTGTATTGGCAGGCAGGTTCTTTACCACAAGTGCCGCCTGGAAAGCCCAACTAGTTATAATCCAAAAATAATATTCCCAATCTGGAAAACAGAACAGTCAGGATTGGGCATTTGCTGACCTTGATGGCCCAAGGGTCCCTGGAGATGCACATCTTCTGTCTGGTCCACAGCCCTGCTGTTTTTGGTGTCATGCTTTACTCTTTTCTTTGTCCTTATCCTCTTTACATTGTGCAAGATTGCATCTTTGCTTAAGTTCGTGTTAATAGGCGCCCATCCCAGGCACAAAGCTTCCCATCACAGTTGAGATGAGATGTCAGAAGGGGAACCCAAGTAATCTGTAGCAATAAGAGGAAAAGTGGGGGAAGGATTTTTCTCTTAAAGTGGAACACATTATGGGTGTTCCATAAGCTGTTTTTGAATGGACTTGGGAAAATAAAATTAATGTATCTCAGTTTTTGTTAAAAGTACTCAGTATTGGACTTTTTTTTTTTTTTTAATTCAAACATTTCTCATATCGTTACAAGGATTTCTGCAGGGCAGGAAAGTCATGTCCCCAGGAGTGAGATGTACAAGGAGGAAGTCAGCTTTGAATCTCAGGGCTGGGTTCCCCAAAACGTGTGCCTGGGGAAAGCTCTCCTTCTGCTGATGCTGCTGAGTGATTAGAAACCTCCCAGACTCAGAGCCCTGACCAAACTTCAGTTCTGACATCTTTGAAGCAGTGATGGGAAGAACAGAAGCAGGAAAATCCAGCTAATTCCAGTCGGATTTGCAAGAGGTAGAAATTTACATTTACATTGAAAAGGCACAGCATTCCTTTTCAAAAGCAAAACTAAGGCCATGGAAAATATTTGAGAGTCTATTGCTCCAAGAAAGGACATGCAGACCTGATCTTCTCCTCAGTCAGGAGAGAGAAATGTAAAAAATGTTTGAACAAGCTAAAGTGAAGCTCCACTGTATTATTTACTGAAGACTGAATTAAGATTGAGTCATTCCAGACTCTGAAAAAATACCAATGTTGAATCATGGTATATTTGATAGGACTGCCCCCA